TCCCCGTTCTGGCCGGTCCGAGTATGGTTCTCTGACCTGATTTCCTTTCTCGACGGCTCTCCATGGGAGATTTCTGTCAGGAGGGATCTCCTCTCACAGGCGGAGGGTACTATCTTCAGCCCCGCCTGGAGCTGTGGAAGTGTGGGTGTGGCCCCTGGGGGGGGGCTGTGGCTGATGCTCCACGCAGCGGGGTGTTCGTTGGCACAACTCGCAGCTTCCTGTCTCTCAACTGAGGTTGTTGAGACCATTCTCCAATCTAGAGCTCCCTCTACGAGGAAACTGTATACCCTGAAGCGGAATCTTTCACTTCTTGGTGCGGAGACCACCAGCTCGACCCAGTTATGCTAAGCGGTGGATCAGGATGTTTTTTCATAGCCTCGAGTCCTCTGATCTCCCCTCTCCTTTCGGGGTCAAGACTCACTCCTTCTGAAGTTGACCTTCGGGACGCTGCAGGATGTCCCCGCCTACTTTGTCAGGTGCCTTCCTGCATTCTAAAAAAAATAAACATTAAAAATCTTACTGTTCAAAAACTTTTGACTGGTAGTGTAGGCTGATTATTCTTATAGATTGAAACAAATGTGCTTCAGCCAGGATAAAGAGTATGAAAAGTGCTCTGAGTTGCTGCAGAAAAAAAAAAGGAGCAACAACAAAAACATGTTGCTGGAGACGTGCTTAATGAAAATGCAAAGTGATTCTCTGCCAGTAGGAGGCGCTTTGAGAGCAGTAGAACTAGCTGTTTCCCCAGTAATGGCTGTAATCAAATCAGCTCCGCTCATGAATGCTACTTTATCAGATAAAATTAATATGCCATCAAAACTTTTCTGAAGACAGTCGGTTCCCTTCAGAGATACATTCATATAAAACACCCGCGACACGTTTTGATTTTGAAACGTGAAGTGCTCATGTTTATTCAACAAAGTCAAATGCCACAAATAAAACATTGTATGGGAAACACTGGTAATGTATATTGAAATATCGGAAATTAGTTTAAAAATCATATCACCGTTATTGAAAAAAAATATATCATGATACATATTGATATTGAATTATTGTCCAGCCCTAGTGGGAGTTCATGACAGATAGGGGGTTCTGGGATGGTGTATGCTGCCCACACACACCAAATAGCAACTCCCAGTACCGGGAGCGCTATTGACAAGGGAATGACCGCTGTGGTCGTGACGGGACAGACAGACGGTGATGGTGGAAGAAGAATAGGCATATCAGTATATATATATATATATATATATATATATATATACACAGTTTCCTCTGAGCCCAGCCTCAGAGGTGGAACAGTGGGCGGGGCTTTCCTCCACAACATCGATCTCCACTTTATCATCCACAGTCACGTGCATTGTTGCCACCTCTCGCACCTGGTCAGATGATCGATGAGGCTCTGGCTCCAGGACAATTCTCAGCTCTGTTGCTCTTTATGGCGATGGCTCTCCGCCTGCAGTGGACTCTGGCTGATGCTTCACGCAGCGGGGTGTTCGTTGGCTGGACTCTGGGTCCGAAGTGGGGCTGGTGAGATCCTTGTCAGCGGGCCTATGGTGAACGCTGAATTGCAGCTTACCAGCACCCACTCCACAAAGTCGGCGAAATTCCCCCAAGGGTATATATATAATAGGTTATATATGTGTGATAGAGTAAATAGCACATGCAGTGGCAGCAGCAGCAGCAGTAACAGCCTCCCCCAGGTCCTAATGCCCATTTGGTAAGGAGTTTTAATCTGTAGGGGGCGTTGTTGGCCTACTTCTAATTAAATTAAAAGGAAAATAGCCTACACAAATAACATTTAGACTGTGTTTATGATTAAATAAAGCAGTATTTAAGAAGCTATAGCTTACAAGAAAAAAAAATCACAAGCATGACACTTGTAAATTAAATAATTGTATATATACTGATTTATTTATTAATATGTAATATGTTTTATTTTTTAAACAAATCATAAGCTCTAAAAGATTTTTCAGAATTTTTACAACTCTTGCTTTAGAACATCTACAAATGTTAAATCTTAAAATAAAATGTTAGGGTTAACACTGCATCTTTCTGGGAAAAAAATGCAGCGATTGATATATAGTTTATTTAGGCCTGTAGTTATTTTCAAAGCTTCAATGTACTGTCAAAAAACCTTCATTATTGTTTATTTAATTCTAACAAATAAGTTCTTGTTAAAAACTATCCAACATTAACACATATTTTGCTTATAATTTCTGCACAGGATAGACTTGGTGTTGTTTCCAAACAAAAGGAAATATATCAGTATCGGTATCTGGCAAAATGAGTTGAAAAATATCGGCATATCAGATATCGGCAAAAATTCAATATTGTGCATCCCTAATATATATAAACGTAGACTTTTGAAAATGCTGCAGACCCCGTTTTAGTTTGCAAACTCCGGGGTTGCATTTCAGTTTAAACGGACCAAAACGGTGACTTTAGAAAACGATGGCGTGGCTGCCCACATTCGCTCTCCGTATCCTTGACGACCGTGTAAACAATAATGTCATGCTCATTGTTGTACCCATAGATATGTATAGGTAGTTGCCCCATTCGACTGCGCCAAGCACGTAGACGCGTCCTCCATCTTAACGGTCAACTTGGCGTCATTCACCATAATACTCAATGAATATTCGAAGATGCCACAATCCTGCCCAGCCGATGGTTGTAAAAACCGCCAGGATTTAAATTCCAGAAGAAACGGGATAACCTTTCACAGGTGAGAATGCATATAATTTCCATTTACATTCCATCCACGTGACACCATGTTTGTCCAAAGGGACAAGACATTAAGAATACAAGATACGGACTATAAATGCCATTTGTGCCATACACACTTTTTATTGCTAAAAATCATCCAGTATCCTTGTTATGTTTTAGAACAAATATATCAAAATATCCATAAAAACAAAACTGTTTAAAATAGTTAAACAGTTATCAGATAAATATTTTAGAATAGAGTTGAGCTCATTCTTTTCCACGGGCCAAATAGTATTTAAATTGTTTTAAACAATCTAAATCAAATTACATTTATGCAGTTTTGCTGATAAGGTGAACATCTTTTAGCTATTTTAGTGGAAACAGATAGGCATATTTATTGCAGTGTAAATACAATTGTCTGACTCGCGAGTCATTGACAAAGTATTTTAAAAAGGAAATGTGCAAATCTTACCACTTTCTTCAAGTTGTATCCTGCAAATACAGTGGTATTTTTCATAATGTTGTGGAGATGCTTTCACACGACATCAACACGTGCAGCTGCGGTTGTACAGTAAGCTATTATCACTGGACCTATTCAAACCGGACAATGGACCGTTCGACCACCAAATCCAGCAGTGTTTGCCATAATATCGAAGTAAGTGTGCATCATTGATCATTGTTCTCACTAAAAATATTTTTTCATAACATGTGATCTGCAGTTTAATTTAAAGCTTCAGTCCGTAACTTTTTTTGGTTAAAAATGATCCAAAATCAATATTTGAGCAAGTACATAAACAGCCAGTGTTCAAACTATCACCTTACTTTAGCCCGATTCACAACGGTTAGCTTATAATAATGTTTTCTAATTTGAGTGGTACGGGTAGGTTTTCGTGGGAAATTCGAGCATGCCACTGCGTCATTACGTCACTTCTGTAAACATAAAGAAGTTGTCCCGGCTACTACACTCTTAAAAATAAAGGTGCTTCACGATGCCATAGAAGAACCTTTTTGTCTAAATGGTTCCATAAAGAACCTTTAACATCTGAAGAACCTTACTGTTTCACAAAAGGTTCTTTGGGACGAAAAAAGGTTCTTCAGATTATAAAAAGGTAAGAAAGAGATGGTTCTTGATTTATGGTAATGCTTTTTTTCTCAGTTGGTCAGAACAAACGTGGTAAACTTGTTACTTGTTCAGATGGCAATATATGGTGAAATTTCTTATTTGGGTCATATTCCAAGACGTAGGCTAGAATCTGTGATTGTGAAGTACAGTAAATATCCA